TGTTCGTTGGGACTTTTGAGCTGATTTTGGGTGAGGCCTATGGCCTCGACAATGCCTTAGATACCTCCTAAAATCTAATTGAAATTTTGAACCAGTTTAAGGTCGACCACCAAATGAGTACAGTATGAACTTTACTTTTAAGCTTTGGACTTCACACAGTTGCACTGCTTAGCCTGCTGTCAATAGCTTTAATGAAAATCTTCTAATGTCTTGAATGTGTCACTGTTTCATACTCCTAACTCTGCTTTCAGTGGTCACAACTACTCGTTGTGACTGCGCAACATTCGTTTCCGCGCTACTCACTAGTGAGCACACGATAACTTTCAGTGAACGACTGTGAGAACGGCTGTCTCAAAAATAAATTTCGTGAGCTAAGTTCTCACCTGCAGAATTTTGAATGTGTTTTTCGGGTAGTCTCTACTGGAACACAATAACTGTTCATTGCTTACAAGTATTCAGTGTTGATCTCAGTTCTTTCAACAAACGGCCTTATTGGTGAACAAGTAACTTCACAACCACGAACCGATATGTTCCCACTGTTTAATCTTTATGAATATCGAAATTACGACTCTCGTTTTGACTCTTTCGATAGGCGAAATTTTATCTCATTGTGTTGCTATTCTTTGATAAAGTTTTCAAACTAGGATGATGCACAGCATTTAGGTAGACTATGTTTGGATGGTTGATTTTTCGCAACCCTATATTTTTGTGTAATTGTTGATGTTATTTTATAATAATGAACGTGCGTTCATTTCATAGTTTCATTTAACTGAAGTTTTAGGCTATACAGAAGCACTTGTTTATTTTATTATTTATGTATTTCGCTCAAACCTACATTAGACTGCTAATATAAACCAAATTAATTTATACAATAATTGTGAACGGATACTCTTAAAAGGGTAGTTATTTCAAAGATAGTTGTTAAAACATCAACTAACGTCTGTGCAGCATGCTATCAACAAGTTAAACTATGCGGATGCGACGACTAAACTGATTCGGAGCGTTTGAGTACTAAGCTAAAATTCAGTGTTCCAAAACATGGACATATCCATTGATTGCTCTTTCCAAACACCTATGGTGGACCATATATTCCTGATTTCTAACAATCCACACCTTAGTCCTCTTACGTTGCCATACAGGAACGTTGTGGTTTGTCTGAGCACATGGTGCACCTCTACAGTAACAGACGTCTGATTTTCGAAGAAATTGTTGGCCAGTTTTGTGGAAACTGGCTTCTGCAGGATTTTTGCCAGTGCAGTGAGTTCATTCGGTGAGGCTGTTGTCTTCGTGTCCCCTGACAGTAGTTGTTGACCGAGGTCAACTGTCAATTTTGTGCGTTTATTGTGGACTCCCTTGCTGCTGTCTCGCAGATCTATGTCGGCTTTCGCACAACCAAATGTAGTCAGACAGGTCGTTTGTCGAGTTTCACCATGCTGGAAGTGCCTCAGTCAGGTCTACCCATGCACTCAAGCTTCGTTCAAACTACTGCCAGCGAGTTCTGATACGCCGTGAACTATCACAGTGGTCTCATCTTGAATGCCTGTTGTTGTCCTAGCTGCCTCAATTACTGATCACGGTTTATCGTGCCTGATGCGAATCGGGGACGGCAGTTTAAATGATGGTCCTTGGGATGAGAGGAGGATGTCTTCGGCAAGTCTTTCCGAGTCCAGAGTTAGCTTCATTGAAGGGGGTTCCCCTTTCGAGACATTCTGGCATTTGTAAAGGCTGCATATTTTAGCTGGGTTATTGCACATTCCGAGGACTGCGTAGTGTTTGTCACACTGTCCTTTGTCAAAGGCCTCCCTACCTTCTATTTAGCCACATTTTGACACTTGGCCACGAAATAAAATAAGTGAACTTATACTATCGTCCCAGTCCTTGAGTGGTAGCCGATTGTGAGCTGAGACGTCGCCATTCATCTCCTTAACATTCACACACTGTTCCTTATTGTAAACAGATTCTGAAAGATAAACAACAATCGACAGTTCTGTCAAAATGTTTGTTAGGGTTCTGGCTGCCTTGGTCGCCTCTTTCACTAATTTAGTATCAGGCAATTTTGATTTGTTCGTTGGGACTTTTGAGCTGATTTTGGGTGAGGCCTATGGCCTCGACAATGCCTTAGATACCTCCTAAAATCTAATTGAAATTTTGAACCAGTTTAAGGTCGACCACCAAATGAGTACAGTATGAACTTTACTTTTAAGCTTTGGACTTCACACAGTTGCACTGCTTAGCCTGCTGTCAATAGCTTTAATGAAAATCTTCTAATGTCTTGAATGTGTCACTGTTTCATACTCCTAACTCTGCTTTCAGTGGTCACAACTACTCGTTGTGACTGCGCAACATTCGTTTCCGCGCTACTCACTAGTGAGCACACGATAACTTTCAGTGAACGACTGTGAGAACGGCTGTCTCAAAAATAAATTTCGTGAGCTAAGTTCTCACCTGCAGAATTTTGAATGTGTTTTTCGGGTAGTCTCTACTGGAACACAATAACTGTTCATTGCTTACAAGTATTCAGTGTTGATCTCAGTTCTTTCAACAAACGGCCTTATTGGTGAACAAGTAACTTCACAACCACGAACCGATATGTTCCCACTGTTTAATCTTTATGAATATCGAAATTACGACTCTCGTTTTGACTCTTTCGATAGGCGAAATTTTATCTCATTGTGTTGCTATTCTTTGATAAAGTTTTCAAACTAGGATGATGCACAGCATTTAGGTAGACTATGTTTGGATGGTTGATTTTTCGCAACCCTATATTTTTGTGTAATTGTTGATGTTATTTTATAATAATGAACGTGCGTTCATTTCATAGTTTCATTTAACTGAAGTTTTAGGCTATACAGAAGCACTTGTTTATTTTATTATTTATGTATTTCGCTCAAACCTACATTAGACTGCTAATATAAACCAAATTAATTTATACAATAATTGTGAACGGATACTCTTAAAAGGGTAGTTATTTCAAAGATAGTTGTTAAAACATCAACTAACGTCTGTGCAGCATGCTATCAACAAGTTAAACTATGCGGATGCGACGACTAAACTGATTCGGAGCGTTTGAGTACTAAGCTAAAATTCAGTGTTCCAAAACATGGACATATCCATTGATTGCTCTTTCCAAACACCTATAGTGGACCAAGATCTGGTACTGTTCTCACGACAAGTTTATATGCCATGAAATAAAACTTTCATCAAATTTCCGTAAATTGTTCTTCAGTGGAAGACATTTTGCGACGGTTGTACTTAAAAGCCCAATACGGTTTCGCAGAAGTATTTATATCATGCATTATTGCGAACAGACAGACAATAAAATGCCTATTCTGAATATTAAATTAAGTGAAAAATTTCAGTGGGCCGTCACGATGTGATAAGTCATAACTTAGCGACTATGGTCTAATAAATTAGCGTCGGCATATGATAAGCAGAGGAAGTGATGCACGCTGGCACACAAGCGACAAAATCAAAGTTATAATGAATAGTTACAATACCTGAAATCGAGTCAACAACTTTGTAAGATTGGTGCATAACGTTGTATGGCTGATTCGAATATTACTATATATCACAATATTTAAACGTGATTCCAGTTTAAGGGTTAATCATAATGGGCTGTAACTCGATAACGAAAATCTATGGACGGCGTATTTGATATCGGCTGGAAAACATAAGTAGTGAGCACCAGAGATAGTGCAAGCGGAAATCAAACAGGATTTATTTACGCCCGTATTATACATCTTGTCATCAGTTCTTCCTGAACGCATTGTGCAGTTACTGACAATTTGAAGCCCTGAAACTAAGCAGCATTGGATTTGCGACTGAAATATCCACTTCATGCATTTGTGACAGTCCATGATGAAAGACAAGTTTCATTGGAATGGACGACGCCTTTATGTCATCTCATAATCAATTCAATTTCACTTCAACTACGCATTGTGCATAAGAACCATAAACACCATATAGTGCACATTCAATGCTGATGTTGATCACAAAGCATGTTTGCACAGTTATGTGACCTGAGCAATGCACATGTTGCCTAAAAAGTGCGAACATCACGTGCGTTCACAGATGAGAAGCTGAGTACAACTTTTCACAGTTTTGCAACTGTGATGTGACGCAATACACTACTCCTGAGCGAGGTGGTCGCATTTTAATACAGTGAGCATCAACCAACGAGGATATGGTCGGTATAAGCGAAATCTTGAAACGTGTGAAAGTGTCAATGTGGTGTCCTGTTCGGCCGTACACATTCTGTGTTGGACTATACCTCCAACATGTCATTTCACGAAATTCAAATTGATGCACAGTCATGAAAGTTAATACCAACTTGCTCGCAAGTGGCCGCAATTATCATATAATAATTGTAAAGCATGATAATCTAAAAAGTCAACTAATACCAACAGGGGTTGATGACATAATCTCTTCTGAAATAACACTCAACTAATACAATACATTTGATGATAGGATTTTGAGTGCAGTCTACAGACGAGTCACAATCTACAATTATTCATTTGTCCAGTTCATACTGGTTTTCAGTAGTACGTCAATTGAATTTATCTTCAGCAAACAGAACTTAAAAATCAAACCAATCCTCACAAAATGACGTCTATTACTAACATACATACATACATACAATATTGATTAAAAACTTGTTGATTTATTCACATCTATTTCATGGCGACTGTGAAAGTAATAAATAGTATCTTTTCAAATTATAAACTGTTATTGGTTTATCTCCTTGTTAATGATTTCGATTCATGTGTTTCCCAACTACCTTGCTTATCATTCAATTATAAATTTTATAACTAGCCCACAGTAAAGAGAAGGTAGTAAGACTAATTTGTTATATTAGAGAAGTTCGGTTGTATTGTGACATTCGAGTGATGTTATTGATATGTTATCTGATTGCATCTAGTCGGCATTCAGTAATCAGCAAATATTATTTCAGTAAACAAAATTTAATGGAACCATGAACAGAGTTGTTATGAAATAGGACTTTATTATTATTATTATTATAATTATTAGAAAAACACCTGATGCAATCTTAGATAAGCAGTCACAAACATAACTCTCCTACCTACACCTCTCTATTACGTTGGCCACAATATCACCAAAGATGTTCCTCCTTATGTTTGTTTTTTTTTCAAGACTAATTTTATTTCATTCAGTTGAGAAAAAAAAAGTGATTTACAGATATTTACAAAATAGACATAACATGGTATTATTTACTTGTACATAAATGAAATCAAAACAATGGTTGACATTATTTTCGCTTCTTTTTTACAATGAGATTACCTAAGAACAAAAGAGAGAAAAAAAAATAGGATAGGATAGTAATAAGTTGTGGAGATTGGAGAGTTCTACTGAGAAATTATGAACTGATGATCAATGATAGTCAGTCAAAAAGTCAATTGCAACGTAGAACTTCGTACGTAAGTACATCAGTTCATGTCGCCATACCACATCACCACAGAGAAGTAATTGTCAATTCAAATCCAATAGTAGAAGAGGTAGTAAAGGTATTAGAAGTAATCGGAGAGGTTAGAATTAGAAGATATTATTCACGAAGTATGATTCAATGAGATAAGTTTAGAAAGTAAAAACTAGAGGTGTTGAAGAACCCAGAAGATTAGGATTTGAGAGAACACAAAGAATAAATGCACTGGCGCCATTGCGAACGATTTTGAGCCATGTCATTCAAGGTCTCTAACCATCGATTATTATCATCTCGCGGACACCAACCAGGTAGTCGACAATTACCGACATGGCTAAGTCCACTAGTCAATGACTTCATGGATTTCTGCCATGTTTTGGTTTGGCCGCCCCTAGCTTTCTTCCAACCTATTCCTACACTACAAAACAAAGCTCGACGAGGCAGTCGGTGGTTAGGCATACGCAACACGTGTCCCAACCACCTCAACTGATGAAGTTTCACCACTTCATCGATTGATCTGCCATTCTTACCTAGTACCCGTTTCCTAATAACTGCGTTGCTCACTCGGGTGTCCCACGATATACGAGCAATGCTTCGAAGACACCTAATCAATGATAGATGATCAGTAAACAGTTAAAAGCACTGAACTGTAGCTTTGTTCTAGGATGAGACTCTTCGAGAATGTGCACCCAACAAACATGAAATAAAAAGTCCGAACCCACGACCTTCAGTCTTGCGCGCAAACACCTAACGTCTAAACCACTGGACTGCTGCTATTCAATGGTGCTTTTTAAGCCGGAATCCCAATGAAGTAACAACATTGGGTGAGCAATTTCCGTTGTTTAAAGTGGGTAAATGCCACACAGTCGACACGGTTTAACGTTAATCAGTGAAGTTGATCGTCTTATGATTTCAATAAAACTTTACAATGATGACAAACAAGTCATAGCGTTTGACGAATCGTGATGAAAATAAGATTGAGTGCGTACAACACTGAAGAAATCATACCATTTATATTAGAACTGTTAAACGAGTTTAACGAAGAAAATCTTCTGTCAGAAAGATATTTGGCGCATAAAGTCAGTTAGAATATCAATTTACATAGTAGAAGCGATAGATTATGTAACTGACAATATTTAACTCCACCTGGAGCACTTCTAAAGTTACTAACGGTGAAAGATTTGTAAATTATTAGCTCCGCTTATCAAACTGCCGATATGCAGATATGTTCCAGCTCATTTGAGTCATCACGATAGGCAGGCACAACCACCATGTTCAAGGTAGCAGCTATGGTTAGATTACTGCCGGTTCCTAGCCCCTATAAAAGGAGTAAGGTTGGGGATGGGGTGTAGCGACTCCATCCCGTAGAATTCCAAAAAACGCTGGCCAGAAAAGTAATTCTGTTAGGCGGCCTATGCTCCTTTAGATTTAACAAGATTAAGAAATAGGTAAGTGTCATTACATTTCCGATTAATGTCTCGACTTTTCACGTACCTTTCTATTCAAATTACCTTTTTCTTTTAATAAGAATCTTTGTTTCAATGAATGAATAATCATCATATAAAAAAAAAATAACGAATGTACACAACTGTAATAAATGAAATCATCAAACAGAAAAATTGTCATCAGTGGCATATTTTCAATTTTGTTTGATGCGTTGCTTTTATTGTATAGTTTTTCAAATGATGAAAATTATCACAGATTCAATCTATATCATCAATTGAAATTATGCGAATATACTAAATACCATTAGTTGTTAATGCTTACTTTTGAATGCTTTCTTAACAATTGATTTCTTCGGTTGAATAACAATTTTTTCATGAATTTTTAATGGTTTCTTTTCTATCATTTCATCTAATTCAAATTTCACCGTCTTAGTTTTGTTATCATCATCAGTAATGATTTCATTATCGATTGGTAAATGACCGGCACGTTTCATTCCTTCAAGACAAATAGCACGATGTGCTTCACGTTCAGCTTCATTGGCTGCACGTCGGGCTGCATGTTCAGCACGACGTTGTGCACGAAGTAGCTCACGTTGTCTTAAACGTTCCGATTGATAAGCTAATTCAGTTAATGTACGTGCTTGCCAACGATGATATAAAACTGTACCGGTGTTGACACCTTCTTCTATCTAGAAAAAAGAATATATATATATATATATATATATATATATATGGTTAACAGACAAAATGAATTAGGCTTTAATTGACCACTAAAAAGTAAACATCGGTTCAAATGAAAACGACTTTCAAGACATTGTTGAATGTTTGTTTACAAGAAAGACTGTCTATAACTGGGACATAGGTGAATGATGTAAGCAAACGTACTTATATTCACACACTACTGAAAGGTGATATGCTGTGTGAGAAGTCGGAGATCTCAAAGCGAATGGAATAAATCAAGTTTCTCAGCTTTTATCTTCGCTAAAATCACTGAGCTACAATTGACGATAAAGTAGCTTGAGAAGGGGAAATTTCGACAAAACTATCAAGCTTGTGTTAAGTAAAACTTATTTTTCTTGTGTAATGTCAAGTTACATTATGCCTTATTGTAAAGAAAATGGTCGCAAACAAATAGACAAACTAAGTTGACCTAATTAGTAAGTTAGTTAGTTAGTTCTCTGTTCACTCAAGCAATAATTAAACATGTGCAACGAAACTTTAAACTAATCAAGTTGATGAAGTTAGTGCAACCTTAACAACAGATTTACAATATTTATTGAGTAATTTATGTTTAACATTCAACTTGCATTACACATTTGATTCATTAAAATGAAAACGATATTTGAAAAACACTTCCAATCAATAAAAAAACGACGCACAGTCTTCTACTTTCAAATTAATACACATATTATATTACTCTACACAGTATAATCGCTTTTTATTTTAACCGACAAGCGTGATTAACTACTACTAGACATATGCTATACGAACATTGATTAAGTAAGCTATAATTAAAAAAAAATATGAATGAATCACAACATAAACAACAACTCCTGCGAGGAGCAGGAGTCGTGGATGCGCACTGCTGAGGAGTCCCATACTAGGACGAAACGGTCGTCCAGTGCTCCCAGGTTTCTAATGGTGGTCTAACAATGATGATTGATTAATGATTTCAAATGTGTAAAAACAAACAAAAAATACTAATCAATTTACCTTAAGTAAATTTAAAGTTATTCGTGGTCCAATTTCAACAAGTCGTATGGTAGCTTTTTTAGCTGCGCCTAAATGTTTCAAACCATGAATTGGACCAGTTGAACGATGATTACGTTTACATGATTTCTCTGATAAAGATTGTAATGCATCAATATTAGTAAATAATTCGGAATTTGGTAAATTAACATCTGGTACTAGATCAACTTCTTCCATATCGGATAAAATATCGGACAATGCTGAATCGGATAAAAGTCCTGCTCTAAATGATGATGATGATGTTGACAAATAGTAACAAATAATGAAAAGGAAAGAAAAGAAAACAGAGAGAAAAAATAAGAAAAACTAACAGCGAACAATGATGTCATCATCAGCAACAACAAAGACAATGTGTGTACTACACAATATATACACAGAGATTGTAAATAAATCAGATAATCAATGGGGATTCTCGATGAGCTGCTGCTAGTCAAACAACAAATTTTTTGTGTAAATGAAGACAAGAATAAAAAAAGAGAGAACAATCATACACATTAGATGGGTAGAATAAATTTTTCCATGGTGAATCAATGATTTGTTTGTCTTTTGTAATCAAGTGAAGAGAAAATTACATAATTCAGATCGGTGTGAGAGGGGGGGGGTTAGGGTTAGTAATTTCTTCATCATGAACTGTCATATAGCTTAGCTACAACAATGCAAAACTGGATTTGTTTTACATGAAATCAACAAGCATACAAGAAGCATTGATTGATTAAGTCTGGCACAATCAAACCAAGAAAACTACAATGTAAAAAGAGATTGAGCTCAGTGTTTTCCGACAATTAGGAAGATATTAGGATTGATTTAGTTTATTGAAAATTTATAATTCAGCATTTGATACGCTGATTTATACATTTTCAGTGATATTTATTATACCTTGCATACAGGTTGCATTCTTCATTTTGATTGGTTTATGCCTGTAATACATATACTGCTGGGTTTACTGAAAAAAGTATTACGGCCTTAGTAGTAATTACATTCAACTTTGGGCGATCATGTTGAAATGATACAACAGAGTTGATTTCACCATAGAATCAACGTTAAATAATAATAATAATAATAATAATAATAATAATAATAATAATAATAATAATAATAATAATAATAATAATGGAGATGAAATTTATGTAGAACGACTAAAACATCCTAGAATTAACTAGGGAAACAATTATTTTATTGTTCAGATATTTTACTGTTCTTCATCTACAAGTGATATCATTATTTATTACCTGATGTTTTACATGTATTGAAACATCCACAGAATGAAATCATTATTCTTACTTAGTTAAAAAATCATCCATAGATGAATATTTCGCTAGATTCGGTACACCTGTCGATTTGCCTGAACCGCTTGGACCACATCCAGATTTTAAGTCCGAATTTTCAATACGTCGACGTTTCATTTTTGCACCGCCAACACCAAGACGTCGTAGTGCACGACTGATACAACGATTTTCAGTACGAATATGATAGTGTCGAATGTAAATAACATCATTCACCTGTTGTTGTTGTTGTTGTGCGTGCTGTTTTATGTCAGTATCATTACTACTACTATTCTTTTCATTAGTAGTATCAATGCAAGCAGTATCAACTTCTCGGCTAACAAGTAGAACTCGTTTGACTGTACTAAGTTTAAGCTGAATAAAATTAAATAGAATCATAGAAAAATATCAAACAGTAATGAATAATAATGCAAGGCAAGAATGCAAAATGTGCATACATATATATGTCGAGCCGACAGGGCTCAGTGCAGCCTTTAGACAAATTAACGAATCCATTCTAATCAAGTTATTATTCCCTTATATTTTGACCTTGTAAATTATTCGCTCAGAACCTTGGCCTTTTTTGTTTTACTGTATGTGTGTGTAGTGCTTACATCGCCGCTCACATGATCAACTTGTTTTTATTGAACTGTAAGCAAATTCATCTAACTGATTTCGATTCTTATTACCGCCGTTACACAACGGAAGTATGATTTACAGAAATCGGAGGAAAATTGTATAATATGTATAGCATATTCTATGCATTCGTCCGAATTGGAGTTAGATCATGGAGCCACTTAAAAAGTGATGATATACCTAAACAGTAAACACTATGATTTGTAATGAAATAAATTCAGTTAAATTAATCTCTGCTTCAATAAATAATTTCATTTATCAACCACAATCAGATGTTGATATCTTAAAACATTTTTATCTGTAATTTACTAGTTTCTATTTAGAATCAATGTCCATTGACTAAGCAAAATAAAATTTGTCATCATCTTGTACTATTTGTTTATTTAAGAAAAAAAAATACAACCTAAATGTTCATTTGAATATTTTGAGTTTATTATAAGCCAGTCAGTCAGTCAGCTACAACAACGTAGAACTTGACCTATACGTACATCACAGTTCAAGTTGGCATACCGTGGTAGCATACCGGGAGATGCAACTGTGAATTCCCATCCTATAGTAGTAGAAGATTAGAGTTGGAAGAAATTATTAAAGAAATGTGAATATCTGGTCTATACGTCCACGTCCCGATTGGAAACCACACTGGTTCGCTTCAGTCTCCTCTTCACGACGAGTCGAAATATTATCAAGGTTCATATTTTCGACCACATGATAGTTAAACTGATTGCTCTGTGATTATCATAAGAGGACTTTTGTCCTTTATTGTGCAGACAATCAGTTATTGTGACCAGTAGCAGATCACAAAACGACGATAGAAAACAGGCCGGTTCTAAGTTGTATTAAGTTGAAAACTCGAAAAGGTGATCAACTTGAAATGTTTATGAGTATGTTATGAGTAGGCAGTAACTACAGAAAACAGTAGGAGAGGTTGTACAAAAAGAACAATCTTATATTGATCAAAGTTAGATAATAACGTCATTGGATGCCGGTTCATTAGTTCAAGATTTAGGTGTTAGCACGCACGGATGTCCTAAGTTAGAGTGGATGCGCACTGCTGATGAGTCACAAACCAGGACGTAATGAACGTCCAGTGCTTCGAAGCTTCTAATGATGGTCTAACAACGATTGAATTATGATTTAAATCAGAAATTATTATACAACTTTAATATATATACAATACAAACTTGTCTACTAATTTTTGAATATAAACACTAAACTAACCTTTGGAACATTCAATGGTGGCAGTAAATTTTGAAACATATCAACAATCAAACGTAGATGTGGTAGTGGAGCGGATGTATTCGCGCTTGCACCACCCATACCAAATCCAGTCATTACAAGTAAAGGCGGTGAACTATACTGACGACTATCGAAAACTCGACGAACTAAAGTTTGAATATCACGTTTCAAACAGTACTCATCAACACGAAAAGTAAGACTAGGTCCGTGTGGAACACGAATCATGTGTAAATACACACCACCGTGACTACTTAAATTTTTATTAGTAACTTCTTCACACACATTTGGATCTATTTGGAAGAAAATTAGATAGGAAAATTACGACAGATATAAATCATGGAAACAGAAGTCATAGCGATAAGTTCAACTGGATAAGAATCAAAATGCAGTATACATTCGAAATTAAATGTATAGTCAATTATTATAATCTGAAATGTAAGACAAACTACAGTACTTTAAAACTTCAAATAAATAAATCACTTTTTTGTCAGTTTGCAGTCTGTAATAGATCGAGAGATGATACAGGAAGAAATATGAAGAATCGGTGCACATGAACGTATATACTAATATTCATAATTCGTTGCGATTCGAGAATATATATATATATATATATATATATATATATCAGATAGATGGAAGCATCTGAAATATATACAAGAAGTTAAGTTGTTCAAGATGAACATATAAAATCTGTTGTTTGGTTCGCTCAAATTGCTTTTTTCATCGGATCCAAATTATTTCTTTGTTGTGCTTTATACTACTTGCTATTATTCAGTAACCAGTTCTACTTCTGTTAATTTCAGAATGTTGCGCAATATTCATGTTTATTGCTGTAATAGCGTCAGTTTTAGATTTCTCGGATCATTGTTTAAACACGAAAGCTCTCAGTTCCAATTTTCGTTATGAAAAATAGATTGCTGTCAGGATTAGACGCAGCTACCTGATGTAAATTACACAATAGTTGTTGTCACTACTCTTTAAGTTGTTATCACTAAATAGAGCTTGGCACGAGCTCTAGTCGCTACAAATGATCAAAAAGGAAAGGTTTATTAATCAATCAATCAACATAACCAACCATTATTAGTCAAATAACAGTAGTTGTATAACGTAGATGATTAATCATCACATCGAAACAAACAGATGAACTTTAGGAATGGATTAATCGAGCTAGCTATAGAATAACACAATCAAGCACATCATAGTCATTGATGACATAATAAATACCTACTATTCGATAAATTCCAAAACCAAAAAAGGGAAAATATTAAACTAATAATATTCAATTATCAAATCGTATGAAAAAATTACATACTTTGTTCAATTGCTGTTTGATTGGCATTTTGTGATTGTTTCGAAGAAACTTTAGCTAACTGACGAGCACGTTTCTGTTCACGTTTCTCACTATGTGGATGTGTGAAATATAATAAATGTGTTACATTCAATGGACCAGCGATAGTAATAAAATCTTTCAGTACATTTTTACGTGTTACACGTAAACGACTAGCTGTGAATGGTTCAAAAATCTCTCTAACATCAAGTGATAATTGTTTCACTAAACTGCCAACACCAGGACGTGAAAAAACCATAGTATGCGGTGTTTTAGTGTAATTTTTTTCTTGTAAAGCAAGTGCTGCATTTCGTGCTTTACGTACTGATCTAGGACGCTTTTTATGGACCATTTTATACCTGAATATATATATAGAAAAAAGAAAACAATATAATATGAGCAATATTTTTGCTTGATAGAGAGGTACGAATGAAGTAATGCTAAACAAAAGTGATAATTCACAAACAGTGACGCATAGAATACAACAGAAAGCATCAGCATAAAATGCCATTGTTGTTTGCTGCAGAAAACTATCAGTTTTAACATGTTGTAATAATATGAACCACAGAGATTGGAATTCAAATGATTTTGTTTTAGTAATTTTTAGTGTTTCCTAAAATGTAGCGATCAAATATGTGGTGTAACTGATTTTGTGATATAGAAATTCAAGTGGTAAATTTCGAACTACACTGTTTCTACTTAAACTGGTTCAACGATTGAACTATTTACACTGAAGAAAATGAGTTTGAGTTAAACACTGAACCTCATTACTTCAATAACAAGTGCTTCGATTACTTTAGCTAAGCTACTGGTTTCATACACATAAAGAAGTTACATCAGGAGAAATTTAAGTTACTGAGTAATCGAAACCGTGATGTCATGTTGTTTGATCTTCAGTTATGGAACAAACTTCACTGGTATATCTAAAAAAGAGCTGACGATTGATATGACACAATGTAAATTGAATTTTTAATGTAAAATAGTTGAAGTCAAGGATTCATTCCGTTGCACTGACGCTTGAGGTGATCTCGACTGTTGTTAATAGAATCAGCAGAGTGGTTGTCACTTCTAAATGATTCACACTATCGAAGGATGATACCTTTCGAAGAAAGTTGGGAATTAAGTGAACAATGAATTTGACAGTTTTGCCAAAATAACCTTAGTGTATAAGGGGATAAAAGTCAGACATTGATCTTATTATACACAGCCTTCCTCCAATGAATGATTTTAAATGATTTAACTCTATGCCTTTTAAGCACTTAACATCCAAAACAAGAATCTGTGATGTATAAATTAATGAGACTACATGTTGGATAGGCTACCACCACCAGTTGGTGGGGAATATCTGTTCTACTTCAAATATCAAAGTAACATTTCGTTGATTCATTCAATCGTTCACACAGGTCAGTGTGTAGTTGTTTCTTTAAAACTATGTATTATATATATATATATATATATATATATATATATATATATATATATATATATATAAAAGCATTCTCAGACAACTATTATCCCATTAGTGATATCGTTAATGGGATAATAATAGATTACAAAACTGATTGCATCAAGCAGTGTACGAAACAAACAAACACAGAAACAAACAAACGGAAGAACAAATGATTGAAAATAAAACCAAAAGATTTGTTATATTCTCAAATTCGTTATACATGATAATTAAATTTCTTCTTTTCACCTGGTTCATTTAACACTATACACACATATAAATTAAGTACTATAATAGTCAGAAAAACAAAACGTTGAGCAAAGAAAGACAGAAGAAATAGATCAGTTCAAGGATTAAAAATTTTTTTTTAAAAATCACCATTTTTGAAAAATAAAGCAACAGAAGAGACTATATGTTTGTCACTTTTCGGGGAAAAAGCATCACTCAAGTACTGAAGCACTGACACACATTTCCTCATTCATTCCTATCGTTAAGCTCACAAACATCTTTTTCAATCATATCCACGATGATTTATATGCAGCAAGACACTCGAATAACCATAATACTACAAATCCACACACACAGACACACATACATACAAACCAATACAAAACAGACAGACACAGTCATAGATACATCAGTGACTAATTAACTAACTATACTGGTTTCCAAACAATTCCCAAGATTATAATAATGGTGGACAAGGGAGTGGAAGAGTGCATCATTCCACATGGAACTGGGAAATAAGCGGGGCTGGGGGTGGTGGTGGTGGTGGATGGTTGTTATATGGTAAAAAAAAAGAGGTTGAACCTTAGAACAAACAAAATAATTCAGATTCGATATGATCTGAAAAAAAAGAGAGAGACAGACAGACAGAAAAAAAACAAGGAAAGACTCTATTGTTGTTGTTGTATATTTGTTTCTGATTAGAGAGAAAAAAAATCTCAATGATTTTAATGCATCTAATTTTTTTCATACGACAGAATGAGCCAATTGCATATGAACAGGTAGATCACTTCGTAGACAAACCTGTTGACAAAGAAATCATAGAAAAAATAAGATACGCATTAGCATTAAACTTGAGAAGATTTGGAGAGAGATTGCTGAATATTGCTAGCATAGATTGTTATTAGTTAGGAAAAATATTTTGTAAACTAGTACAAGACGCCCAAGTGGTGTGCTTTTATCAACCCAGCTAGTGAAATAATCCACAACCTTTGTACCTTGTGCAGAGGAGCTTAAATTTTGAAAAACAACTAAGTTGACACTCAAACTCTAATGAATTTGTAACATTTATAACAAATAATTATGAAACTTTGACATAAATAACAATTGAACATGAGAAAATCCGTGCAGATTATCTAGTTTGCGTTCATGTGATTATTTTAACCGAGAACTGGAGAGGTTGGGTGACATGGCTCAGAATCGAGCACAAATATTACTAATGATGCCATCACTATGTTCACTATTTCATCTCAATGGTTCAGCACAAGTAGGGAGAGTTTCATACTACGCCAAAACAGCTGACTAGTGTTCACTAGTTTAGAATGGTACTTTAACTGAGAAACAATCTATAAAAATCAATATCTTGTAGACCTTTCGCATTATATACAATAAGATAGAAATAATCAGTTACGTCTTTTTCTTTCTTCAATCGACAGTACATGTTAAATATTCATTGTTTAAATACAAATTCATGTGTAAAGCAACTTACTTGACCGCATTCCTGACATGCTTGCATTGTTTTTAGCACTTTTTTTGCCCATGAAGGTAGAGTTAGTATAGGGATTTTGTTGCGCTTAAATTGATGACCACTTCTTAATAAGGCCTCTTGCATATCAACTGGAATACGTGGTGATCCTTGTGCTTGAAGTGCACGAAGTAAGGCACGTTGAAGTCCTATATCAGGCAATAAAGAAATCATCGGACCTATCCAATATGGAATATCTAAAATATTAAAGATTGCACAAACAAAACTTTGTTACATGAAGCACACGAACACCTAGGAATGATAAATAGAAGTTAGTTATGGTGTCAAGTAGTTAGATGTGTAGTCGGCAGGAAGTAAAGTACGGCTTAGGTGCCATGTCAACTCATCATGCACAAGGCGTAGCAGCAATCTTCGAAAAACTGACGCACTCTAATGGGGTCGAACATACAATCCGCAAACTTAGTGATTACCTAATAATGGCCAAACAGCCAAATAGCCAAAATAAAGGTCTACGGTTTATGGTCAATTAACCACAGTGTATTCGGTGTTCAGACACTTAGATTAGTGGTCGAATAGCGATTTTATAGATAGAATCGTGTCGGTACTAAGGGAAATAGAACATTATTCATTAGTCAATCAATTCGGAAGCGAGTTATCGTTATACTAATCAAACAATGACTATTTGTTTCAGTAAATCATATGCAACACAATACCTGACATAGACGCGCGTCAGTTTATCACACCTGGTTAATGTTGCGAGATATGATTATCAAAACAGATCTTAAGGTAACAGTATCAGAAATGGTTGGAAACATCGAGCTCTGAACAGCTACTTTGCTGTAGTTGAGATTATTCCAATGGTTACATAGTTTAGTATTTAAATGTGAAAAATGGAAACTGATTCGTTTTTTACTTTGATCCAGATGCCTGTTATTAATAATTATGATAAATATTCCATTCGTCATAAAACGTTCAAATGGTGACTATGCAGAAACCACGATTAATAGATACTTTAAAAGAGTATTCCCTCATCCCAGTGATAATCTGTGGCGTGCTTACTATTTAATTAACAGTGTCTTCAATGACACACATAGATCACATGTTGGAAAAGGAGCCAAACAACTAACAACCATTCTTGAACGTATTATTAAGTCAATACAGAACGATAGGAGATTTAAGTAGGTGTTAACAAAAAAAGTCTACATTCTTAATTACAATATCTATGGTCAACTATTTATAAGATCAATTGTGTACAAACTTCATTTAAAATGAAAACGAATACCTAATTACAATTTTTTCAAAACAAAACAAAAACCCGTTGACCATGTCTACATGTTCAACAGAGAAAGTGTTGAACTTTTGAATAGAGAAACTTTAAAAGTTTTCCATTAAAATTAATTACTTTCCGTCTACTTTGACATGAGCAACCAGACAATAGCACTGTCAGCAGCTTTAAAACTTACAGTGTAGTTCATTGCCAAACAACAACTACTGAATAGGTTAAAAGTAGGTTAATAAATCTATTAAAAAATAAATCCGACTTGTTAACCAACGGAAAGAAAATGCTGATAAATGGTAATTTCTAAAACAAAATGAATCAATGATCAACTTGTCAACTGCTCACTTCTGATTGTTTAATTGAAGTCACACAAAAAAAAAAACAGTAAATCAATGAATGCGTTGCCGGTCACACAAAATCCTCTAGCAACTTATTACAAGAATAGAAATGTCATATCGATGCAGCAAAACAAAATTCATACAACAACAACAACAACAACAACTTACTAGCTTCTTCTTCTTCTTCTTTGTCAACATCATCACCATCTTTGCTCTGTTTCATAGTGCTAACATTTAAAAGACCAATTAAACCTTCTAAATAAGCTGTAGCATTGATTTGTTTATAACGATAACGACGTGATAGATCAGCGAATCGAATAAAAGCTGTCTTGCCACTTTTATCAAATAAATCATTTTCCACCGTTCGAATTAATTCACGATTACGTGTTTCCATATCCGGTGGAGCTATGTATTGAGACTTGAATGGAAAAAAAATAAGAAAATAAAATATGCAATTGAAAATTGACAAATGACAAATTAGTTATAGAGAGGATATATGATAAAAAACAATTAGTAATGACAATAATTGGCACGGTTTAGAAGAGATGCTGTCAGTTCCATAAGAAATTAATTCTAATCCCACATTGCTATGGTTATGCTAATTAAAATATGACTTAATATCTACGACTGGAAGGTAAACCAGGGAAGCTAAGCTTTTCTATGCAGCCTAGTCCAGCAAACTACAGCAAGAAATCCAAGTCAGCATGAAGATTGTATAATCCATAAGCAGCCCTAAGTGCACACATTAACCACAGTTGAATTCAAGCACAATTCATACAGTAGAAAAAATGTACCTGAAAGAGTTACAAAATAACACACTAACAAGAAAAAGTAGTCAATGAAGTGTTAGTAGCTGCGTTAAACATCACGTCGAAGTAGGGATGACCCCTTTAATGGTCTACGAACTGACTCAATTTTGGACAATGCCATGAAATAAATCCTTCTTTCAATTTCCAAATGGCGAACGCCATTTGTGAGACGGTAGTAATAAGAAGCCAAATATGGATTCAGTTGAGTGAGTCGTTTACGCAGACAGATATGAAAATAAAAAGCGTACAAGCAAAGCGAAATGAAAAAGGCTACTGACCTAAATCAATGCAATCAGGTATGACTAAGCATTTATAGTCAGTCATAATAATCTGGACATGTGATTAGCGACGTAACAGGCACATATAGACAAGGCTATGAGAAAATAATAGACAAGGTCAAATAGCATGTGAACAACTCGAGGAGTATGAATTAACTAATTTTTCCAAAGGCTGTGGCAGGCCCTGTTAGTGTGTTATTTTGTAAGAAGGTTTCTGAGTCGATGGCTTTTTGGTTGCAGCAGCCTTAGGCTGTTTGGCTGTCTTAACTTTTGGTTTAGCGACTTTCTTTTCTTTGGGTTTTTTCGGAGTTGATTTGGGTTTGCTGGTCGATGGTGATTTAGTTTTTGGCTTTGGAACCTTCAGCTTTGCCTCAGCAACTTTCATCTCAGCGACTTTGAAGCTACCAGATGCAACCTTGCCATTGTTTCCAACTCGAACCGAAACACCTTTCTCGACGCCATGAACAATACCACGACGAATGTGTGCCGCCTGCTTCTCAAAATCAAACTGATAATTTGAAGCAATGTACTTTTTGATAGTCGCAAGCGAGCTACCTTTACGCTCCTTCGATGCCAATATCGCGGCTGTGATCATGTTGATCACTAGCGGATGACTAGCTGGCACTTTCGGCTTTGACAAATTGGATTTCTTCGAAGTAGAGGCTGCTGGGGCACTCATGACAAACTCTTCTGACAGACTTGCCACACGGACACGAGGTACATTTTTTGTACTGTATGAATTGGGCTTCAGCTGAACTCTGATTAATGTGCACAATTGGGGCTGCTTATGGATTATACAATCTCCATGCTGGGTTGCAGGGAATAGCTTAACTGCCCTGTTATTGTGTCACTGGTTTACGTTCCGTTTGTGCATATCTCAATTAGCACAAGCATAGCACTGAAATGCACAGAACCGTGTACAAATACAATTATATGTACTATTATATAGTTTGCAGGTTGGTGAAACACGATTAGCAATTGCATTAAAGGAATCGAGGACTGTAAATCCCTGATATGATGCAGATTAACAGTATAGCGAACCGAATAACGCTAAATTGGTATTCCAAAAAATGAGCATATAAAATACCAATTTGATTACTTTCGGGATGACGAAAATAACTGAGTCAAGTGACACATAATTTGTATATCTAAACCGATGCTCAAAATTAAGGTACATTATAACTCTTTTTGTGAGTTCCCAACTCATATACTTCGTAAGTGGTACAACCCGGTTATTTTAACCGAAGTACAACGAACATTGGGACTCGAACTGGCAACTCAGTGGATGAAAGTTGAAGAGAGCATCTATTTATGAAGCAACAGAAACGTGATAAAGACAATATATGTGGCTGCTAGTTTGAAGTCATGGTCGGAGCTTGGATAGATTTCACAACAAACAATTAGGCAAGCATCTATGCCTAAAATAATGAGCTTTTTTTTCATTTACAGTACACACAATAATTAAGAAATCTAATTTCAACATACATTAGCGTACAATAAACATTCAATATCCATATTGTCATTAAATTGAATAGACTTGATCAGTTCAATTAACGCGTTAACTTCAGGTTTCAAAATGTTACTATTTACAGCACTATTAGTAGTAGTAGTTGTTGTTTTATGAGTAGAATGTTGTTGTTTTTGTTTTACTGATTGATGAATTATAGTATTATCAATGGTTTTCTTGTTTACTTGTTGATTATGTAATTTTTTCAATACTGTATCATTATTATTATTATTATTATTATTATTTTCAGATAAACATGGAAAATCATTTGTAAGTGATAATGTCCCATGATTGATTAAATTTGTTTGAGTAGATGATTTTTCATTGATATTAGGAACATCTACTGTCCGTATATGAGTAAATTGAGGCTTTTCTAATGGTAATTGATCATCAGTATACTGAAATAAGAGAGTAAAACAATGACAATAAGCTACTTTGAAATAATCAGTGGAAATGTTGGTAAATGCCAACTTACGTCATTTATAGCGTAGGCTAACCAAAGGTTAAGTTTACTGCACAGTAGTTCACTCCGTTCTACTATATGGATGTGAAACATGGCCAGTCATAATAGAAGCTATTCTTAGGTTATTGGTATTCGATCAGAGATGTCTTCGAAGCATTGCTCTTGTTTCGTGGGACGACCGAGTCAGTAATGCTGTCGTTAGGAAACGAGTACTAAGTAGAGATAGCAAATCACTAGATGAAGTATTGAAACTTCATCAATTGAGATGGTTAGGACATGTGTGACGAATGTCCAACCACCGACTACTTACATCGACGAGCGACGTTTTGTGGTGTAGGAATAGGTTGGAAGAAAGCTAGGGGGGACTAAACCAAAACATGGCACAAATCCATGTAGTCACTGACTGACGGTTAGAAACCTTGAACGACATGACTCAAAATCGTTTGCAATGGCGCAGGTGCATCCACTCGTAGTGTTGCACGAAATTCTAATCTTCTGAATTCATCATCACCTATACCTTTCTCTTTATGAATTTATCTCACTGGATTATACTACTTGAATGATATCTTCGAACCCTAATCTTCTACGCAAACACTAAGGGATTTGAACTGACAATTGCATCACTGTGCCAATGTGGTATGGCAACTTGAACTGAACGAAGTTCAACGTTGTAACTGACTGACTGACTGACGAAGAATAAAAGCGAACCACAGATATGTTCCATTTCAGCTTTACTAGTTCTTGACTTTATTCAACTTAAAAGAAAACAGGAAATATGTCATTTATGTTGTTAGGATGAGATATTCAACGTTCCAAGGGCCTACCTAATCATAACTCTATAGAAACAATGTACAAACACGTAATACCCTCCTCCAAGGCACTTTTACATTGAACATTTTTCAAATAAATTTCGTGAAATGCCAATCATTTTAGAATTCTTATAATCCTAAGTTAAACAAGAAAAATCACTCATTAACAGTTCAGTATATCCAAACATCAAACCATTGAGTTTGCATCCAATGGTTCACATTTCACAAAACTGTATATTTATAATTTTTTATCATAGATGACTGACACTGATAGGTCATTTGAAGGTATTATGGCCATAAGATATTGGTTACTCTTCAATGATCTCAGTCTTAAAGCAGAGCTGTAACTTTTAAGATTATGAAAGTGAGTGAAGCGTGGTTCTTAATCCCCAATTTATTGGTATAAAGTGGTCTGTTTTTGTGTGTATATAAACGAATATCCGAAATATAGAAACGAACCTTGGACTGGTCGTGATTGGTAAATTGTTCTTCCTTTTCAGTTGGGATAAATTAGTATTGGGCGGTCTTTCAAGCCTAGAGTAGCAAGTTTTTCGTCCTTGAAGCATACTGGTCACACAAAGATCGTCTGACTATTGGCTACAGCAGACACAAAATTCATCTACAGTGTAGTAATAGGGAAGTCAAAATACACACTTGGTGATAGCCATGATTGAATTTCGATCAGTCTTGGTCGGTATAAATGCATCCTAATTATATTACCTCGACTGTTACCACCGGTATTTAGAGTATATGAATTGTAATTACCAGTGTAATCCAAGACGGAGACTTTGTCCTACCTGAGACTTATCAACTGCATGTAACTTAATTTTAGTGAAAAGTAATAAATTCGAGTGTCACTGTGAACATTAATACTGCCCTTGTAGGAACATCCTGCTGACAAATCCCAACTAGGATAAAACGATTGACTTGGTGAAACAGTGGCTAGAAACGTTATCTTCCTTTTCTAAAGAACAAGATTTATGCCATTGGTTGAATATGTGGCCTAAACCTCTACGGAATAAGTTTATTTACATATATCTCGGTTCCTCCTAACTACTGATCTCACTCAAATAGTCAGTTGGGTTTATGTACCGTCATCAGGACCGGACACCGTACACAAAACACCTACATCACAGTTAGCAATAACCCAACAATTCTCAACTACATAATTGTTCTTCAAATACTTATTCACAAACTAACCTTCTCTACATCATCCCTTAAAGTCATACCACCATGTTCATCCGAATCAATGTTTGTTGTTCTGGCACTGTGTCTAGGTTTTGGTTTCTTTGTATTTTTTAATTCTGTTGTAGTAGTTAATGACTCCGCTTTCACCTTTTTCACATTAGCTACTGATGTTTTAAGCACATTGGATTTAGTTTGCAAAATTGATTTTGAAGTTGAACTGATGCTGAGATTGGAACGACTAGGATTAGAATTTATTGGAAGTGATGGAAAATCAGATGATGTGGGCGTCGGCAGTGAAGTTGACTGTGGAAATGTGGATTTCAATTGTTCCTCTGAAGATACATTACGATTTGTTTTAGGCCATCCTGGCGAAGGACTACTACTACTACTACTAGCTAACATATAGAAAGTGTTAAGAGAAAAAAAAACGAATTTCGTTAGTTATATTACAAAAAGAAATTTTTCAGAAACTATGTACATCTAAATAGTTATTGTTAAAGGGTGTTATGTAAATTGTATAAACTGATGTTTTATATCGCAAAATGATTGATTAGAAGATCAATAAAGATCAAGAAGCATTCGACAAGTACTTCATACTAGTATAGAACTCCTTAATAGTGTGCAGATGACACTAACAGGACCGAGCCCAGGTTAGGAAACGTGTACTAGGTAAGGATGGCAATAGATGAGATACTGAATCTGCATCATTTGAGGTGGTTGGGACATGTATTACGTATGCCCAACCACCGACTACCTAGACAAGCGATGCTTTGTGGTGTAGGAGTGAGTTGGAAGAAATCCATGATATCATTAATAAGTGAACTGAGTCATTTTGGTAAGTGCAGACTACCTGGTTGGGGTCCACGAGACGACAGTAACCGACATTGCTTGAAATCGTTTGCAATGGCACAAGTGCATCGATTATTTTTGTTCTTCCAAATCCAAATCCTCTGAATTCCACATCACCTTTATGATTCTCTTTTTAAGTTTATTTCACTATATTAGAATTCTTCGAACCCTTATAAATATATATATATATATATATATATATATATATATATATATATATTCATATATATATATACATTACTTATCTATCAGGAAACCCCAAGTGTATAACTGTCCAAAATGGTTCGAAATCCCAATTCAGCAACTTTATAAGTTAAAGCTATCTTGAAGCTATTTTTGTTCAAATATTTTGATCAATAAATTGTATTAGAACCAAAGGTAACTATGTAACTGTCGAAATGTTATCAGTTCTCATGCATTTGAACTAAAAATTATAGCCTATTTCTTAAGCTGAACTATCAAACATTTAACTGTTTCCATTATCCAGCACATACAGTTACATAGTCTTGTTAACCCACCAAATTCGATACAATCGCATGTCGTACTCTTCATTTTTGGCATGCAACATGAATACACAGTTTACAACTCCAGATAGAAAGATTAGCTGTAATATGCTCATATGTTATTGACTCCGATTGGAATATTAGGCTTTGAGTCACACTCTAAATATAAGACTTAGTAATACTACTGTCTCTTGTTCAAATCGAAGTGGTTGGAGCGAGGTTAGATAGAACTTGTGATTCAATAACTTGATTTTTAATGATATAACCATTGAAAAAAACACCTTTTGTCATATAAATTTTTCACTACTATAGGTAAGTACAGAAATAAGTGAATTTAAGGAAACCTAACAAGATGAAAGCAGTGACCTAACGCTTAAGGCATTCAGCTTTCAGTCACTAGGTCCCAGGCTCAGAATATACTCCACCTACTTAATTTTCAACAACTTGGCAGTAGTAGTAGTAGTATTAGTAGTATTGGCCCTTGTACTGAGTGTAATTTGATACTTCGGTACCTGATGAATGTATCAACCTAAGAAATACATCATAAACCAAACACTTTTTTTTAATAAAACGGTCATTGCATCGGTAATGACACTGTATACACAGAACGTACCAGAAGCATGGTTATTTGATCCAATAGTTGGAAAATCAAATTGATTAGAAGTAGTAGTAGTTTGAGGACTTTGTATGGTTTGAGAAGTATTACTTCTGACCCAAGTAGGAGGATTGCCTAAAAATCAAAAAAATATATATACAGATATATATAAGCAACATGATACAGGAACACTGAAAACATAACAACCGTAGCATATTCCTAAAAATGATTAAGAAGAATCGAACTTATTTGAGAATACTACAAATTTATTCCCTATGACTTTTGTCACACACTTTCATAATTAGTTCAAGTCTACAACATTGGTTGTAATTTAAAATGATCTGATTACTAAGTTATCATTTGAAGTTGATTATACTGTATGCTGAATACAATAAAAGTGCACTGTCGTTAATATGAACAAAAAAAAGTAGGAATGAATAAGAATAGATATGTACAAAGTCTCAACATGGCAATAATGATCTTGTTAAAAAAATGTATCACAAATTTGAAGAAGTTTACTGACAACACATGTGGTCAAATAAATCAAGTTACTGCACAATTCCATTTAGGTATTGTTAGTGGGACATAGATGGAATCAAAGCATGACTACGTTGCTGCGCACTGATTGGCTAATTTCCTATTCCTATTCAGCGCCTGATCGAATCTTGGAGAACAGGGTAGAAAATTCTCGTATCGTTAGCTGCATGCTGATTAGTTAAATCTAATCCATTCGATCACGTGAATTTCTATCCAGAAGCTTTCCATGTAAATGCTATAAATAGACCAGAGTTGTATCTTTTTTTGCCTTCGCCAACACCTCCGGCTTCTTATTCCTTGCTATTTTGGAATATAATCTTTACCTGTTCAACCGTGTTTTGATTCTTGGGAACTTGTCCAGTGTTTTGTGTCAGAGAATACTAAGCAATAGGATTTAGCCGGGAATTATCTAAGCAAGCATTACAACAGGTATTTAGTATATATATATATATCACAAAAAAAATTGACTAATAGACATCCTACCAGAGGAAGGATTTGGAGATTGTGTTAAGCTGGGAAAATCTTCCGATGTAAGACGATCTTTATTGGTAAAATTGACATTAGCAACACGAGAAACCCAACTTCCACCTGTTGCTGGTCGTTTATTTTGTACAGTATTATTTGTATCGTTTCTTTCGCGTTCTGTTAAAGCATTAGTTGACTCTTTAAGTCTTTGTATAGGTGCTTGAGAGCTTCTAGACTCATCTGTTGCTAATTGAGAACTTGTGATTGTTGGTTTGGTCGATTGAAGTGAAGGAAAATCTTCACCAGTCCATTCAGAAGGATTAGGTCGTCGATATGTTACATTAGAATGGTCTTGGGAAATAAGTCTACCATCAGATTCATCTATAATTATAGATAAAAAAGCCAACTATAACTTAAACAAGTAAATTATCAACAAACGTATTATAATAATAAGGCATTGACCAACAACACAGAATTTGACCCAAATGCGTACGAAAATAAATCAAAGTTTAAAGGAACAGAAGTTAATTTGACTTTAAATGAAATTATTATTATTATTATTATTGTCAACTAAAATTATTTATGACTTCTATGATGATGAACAATTTACGAAAATGATGCTAGACATTCATAGAAAAAAAAGTTAGCCTACTTGTAGAAATACATTGTTATTAGTGTAGCTGAGGTCCCGAAACAGTCAAGAACTTATCCTGCATAAAAGAAACTGAATTCGAATGAGTCTTCAATATTAGCGATTACTTTATATCCATTGAGCGGATCTCATTATCTATAAAGTCTTCCAAGAAAATTTGAAAATTGATCGCAGTATGTCTGATTTTGATTATATTAAGCTTCAAATGAAAATTGTTCCATTATAAACCTGTACTAGAAATGCATATTATCACATTATTTTAAAAATTCCACACCCAGCGTTCTTTCTTAATTTCTTCTCCGGATGGAATCTAATTTGGTTTCTACTACAGTAGGCTGTTACTGATGGTGTCTGGCAAACGGATGCGAAGTAAATTGCGCATACTGTTAATTAACACTTGCGTTTTCTGAATGATGGCTTCAGTAGTTTTCCAAGATTATGCCTCATACAGTGGAACTGTTTTGACAATTGTATTTAAACTTATAACTTCAGTGTTCGTTGATAGTTGTATGGCTTTCAGATGTCTTTTCGACTGTAGAAATACTACGCTTACTTGCTAATCACAGCCTTCACAATTGCATCAGATCCACCTTGTTTTTCAATGAACCTCCTCAGGTATGTAAACGTTTTCACATCTCCGTAAGCTTCTCCCTCAAGTGTGAGTTAATTGGTGGATCTTGCACTTCCGCTTGTGCATGTTAAAACCTACTGCTACAGAGGCTGATGCTACACTGGCCATATTCATCTGCATTTGTTGCTGTGTATGGGATAGAAGAACTAGATCATCAAACAAGTCCAAATCTTGTAGCTTCAACCAAGTTGTCGATTGGATTCCGTGCTTCTCCCTAGACACTGACGTCCTAACAATCCATTGAACCAATAGGTGTGAGAGTACACAGCCTTGTCTGAGATCAGTCTTCACTTCGAACGAGTCTGTTAGCTGCAATTCATGAACGATTTTGTAGTCTAATCCACCGTAAGAATTTAGTATGATGTTTAATATCTTTTGAAGAACACCACAGTGTCGAAGAAGCCAATATAGTGTAATCTTGTGTATGCTTTCAAATGCCTTCTCGTATTCAACGAAGTTTATGTAAAGCGGTGAGTTCCATTTAACTGATTGTTCGATTATGATTCAGAATGTCGTGATTTGGTTGGAAAATGTCTGATTCTTACGGAATCCAGCCTGCTACAGCCGTAATGTTGTCTGGTCTTGCTCCTTTGCCGCTCTTGAATCGTTTGATGGCCATGCTCATCCCTTTAATTGTTGGTGGGTCAACATTAATCGGGAGGTCCGTGGGTGCTGTGGGTGGGTTCAGTAGGGCTGGTCGCTCCAACAGTTCGCCATAGGGCTCGACCCACCTGCTTTGCTGTTCTTAAATGTCGATAATTACTTTACCTTCCTTGCTTCACTAGTCGTTCTGGTTTACTAGATTGTCGGACTAGCTTTTTCGTCGTATTGCATAAATATCTCGCGTTTTCTTCTCTTGCAGTGTCTACTGCTATCATTGTTATATATTCCACACATTTTCGCTTATCTACTCTGATGCTCCTCTTCACTTGCTTGTTTGCTTCTACGTATTCAGCTCGTGTCTTGGTTTCCTCTATTCCTGTTTGGCTGATATTGATTTCCGCTTTCACGTTAATCCTTTCTTTAATCTTATCCAGAGTATCAACAGAGATCCATTTCTTTGTGATGGTAATTCCGAAACCTCATGAAACGATGAAGTAATTGCTTGTTTGGTCTCTTTCTGCTTGTTCCCCAGGGTAGTTTCCTCGTCACTGAGTTGATCGTGAAAGGCCTTGAACTTGTTGCCGAAAGCTATTTCTATTTTCTTGTGTCTGCCAGTATCCCGAAGAAAGGTCCTATCAAACTTTTGTCATGCTGTTCGACCAGATGTCCAGTGCTTGGCCCCTACCAAGTGATTATCTGAAGCCGTCAGCTCTTCTCTTTGTTCTTACATCATTCATGATCTTTCTGGACGTTTCGATGATGCAGATGTTATCAATTTGGTTCCATGTAGTGAGATCCAGTGAAACCCATATAGCTATGTATATGCGTTTGTGTGGAAATATGGTGCCGCGTATAGTCATTTTGAAAGCAAATAAATTTACGAATCTCCTCAATTTCGTTCTTTTCTCGCAGTCCACGTCACCCCACAGTCTTCATATACAATGCTGTCCATCCCAACCTTGGCGTTTATGTCTCACATCAGAAAAGTGTGACAATACGCACATGGCACAGCAGATGGTAAACGGGCAACCTGAATCCAATTCAGTCATGTACAACGTAGAACCTGACACATATGTAGATCACTTCAGGTTATTATGACACATTAGGAGAGAGATAAAATCAATTTAAGACGAATCCCAGAGTAGTAGAAGTAGTATCAAAATTAATAGTAACAGGAAACAAGAAAGAAAGGTATAATGAGATTTCTAAAGGAAGACAGAGGTAATGCACTCGCACCGTCAACTGAAATCTCTAACCATTGGTTATAACAAGTACATGGAACCTAACTAGGAAGTCGACACCTATTAACATGACTCCGTTCAGCTGTCAATGATTCTATGAATTTGTGCTGTCTTTGCTCGATTGCTTCTAGTTTTCATTCAAGCTATACTAGCACCATACATTGCTTGTCTAGATAGGTGATAATTAGACAAACGTAGTACATGCCCCGATAACTTCAGCTAATAGGGATTCACTACCTTACCAACCGAATTTGCCCAGTAGCTCATTTTGAACCTGGCCATTGATCACTCGATAATCCCAAAATACCCGAGCGACTTTTTGGAGACACGTATGATCGAAGCGTAAGATCATGTTTCGCTCTTGAAGTGGGAAGGAGAGAACTGCTGTGCAGTAAACTCTTACCTTGGTGGGTGAACGGATCTTGCCTACACCACAAGTGACTCATATTGACGAACGATAATCAACTTTTTTGAATCCGTGCGAAAATTTCACCAGACAATAGCCCATTAGGACTTATATGAAATCAGCTGATTATTACTCGTAAATAAGGTATGTGCTTAGCACTTTCAAAATATAGTACTTCCGATAAAGAGGTGCAACTTAGAAGTTGCATTCAATCTTTGTGGTGAACTATAATGCTTAGTCGAAAAACCTGTGCACTTCGGTAGTTGAGTGAGTGTTAGTTATGTGATAGGTGATATGAGGTTAAACAAATGGAGGCTCATATTAATGCGATTTTGAATAGTAAATCGAGTCTACAACGCATGGGTAAGAGTTCTGTTTAAAGCTTGTGAAACCAAGCCAGACTTAGCTGAGGATATCCAGAGACCGTGTTTGTTTACTGCTATGTTTAAAGTATTGTTCACAAGCCCTATCAACATGATGCTCGAATGCAGTAACGATTTACGTGGCTTCGTCATGTCTTGCGAGTGACTTCACATTCGAACACTATCTGCCGATAATGCAACTGAGTGGAGAGGTATTCATATCAAGAAGTAGGTTGATGGTGTGAAAACAGCTATATTTGAGTGATTCTTCAGCTTAGGGCTTAGAATCTATGAAATTTTGTCACTTAAAACGTTAGCAAGTATGACTCAGAGACGTGAATAGCAGTTTTACGGCGATACCTTTTAACTGAACAGTTTCTAGTACTGCTCACAGATTACAGAATTTACGGTATTATTAAGTAACGAGAAACCACTGTCTATAACTAGCAAAATCAAACATCCTCAGTTTCCTCATACTGTTAATTCAGGGAGATAAAACGAGACCACTGCTCAACTGTTTTACATACTTTTCAAAATGATTCAACCACTGATTTTGACAGAAACAAGACGTACCAAGAACGCCACCCACAGTATGTACATCAGGAAATATCTGGTCACGTCGTCTGAAAGCCGAATCGGAAGATGTTACGTGTCGTATGGAAATTGGAAGCCAAGAATTTGGATCGTTGGCTACTTCATTTGGATGTTCTTGAAAACGATGTAAGCCTAAACGATCCTCGGTTGCGAAACATGAGATACGTTGTTGCGCACGGCACTCGGAACAAAGATGATGTGATTCACCATAGTGATCTAATAATTCATTCTGTTGTCTGAAATAAAAATTATGAACAGTATCAATCATAAGCAATTATCCTCAGTACGATCTTTGATAAAGTGTCCACAAAAAGCATTCTAATCTTGAAGTAGCTTACTAGTTTGAAATAAAATTTCAGAATCAAATTAGTCCACTGGGATAAAATATAGACCAAAATAATAACGATAATGAGTGACTAAGATGTCATCAAGATAGAAGTTACAAAAGTCTAAGCTTTCTAAGACTATCCATAACATAGCTACCATTCAGAAGCGACATGATACGTAAATAAAGGCTATGTGGCTGAAAACAATCAAGAACACAAATAAGCAAGCAAGTGTAAAATATCGCAAAACGTCCGCTGAAGTTACAGCTGGCAACACTCGAGAAGTAATGGTGTAAATGTTTCAAAACAGCCAAGAATTCGGGACAAAAAAATCAAAGCGTGTATGTCTTCCACTTCAGTTGACGCAAAGCTAAATTATATGAAGTCTTCATTATCTTCAATTATCTCATGACACTAAACCACAAAGCTCGTATTTTCATTTCATTGGGAAATTCCATTCAGTCAACAATGCAAGAGTTCAGATGAAAAAGATAAATCTAAAATCTCAATAACTGATGCAGTAGGTTGATAGTGTCTACAACTGTTTCTTTATGACTAAGATCTACTGTAATTTTACTTATAGGCTCGTTTACCGCTAGAGATCGTTAATAATATATGCAAACCACATTTTCGCTGTTCAATTTTTTCTAACACATCTAGGACTTTGGCTACCTTAACCACTCTGGGACTCATCTTGACAACTGATTCTGTCTAAGCAAATGAAACGAGACAACCAAAATGCCAGTTCGACATTGCATGAAAGTGATTTTAAAAAACAGTAAGTTATCAATTGAACGAAATATGTCAAATAAATATTACGCAAAAAACACGTCTCTAACGAACGGATTCGTTAAAAGCTAAACTTATATACCTGAAAACAACAAACTTTCCAGAAGTCATACAAAGGTCACACAAGAAGTGTAGATCTCGGATATGGACAATCAAGTCTTCCATTTCATAAAATCGTTCTTGACAGAAATCACACAGCGGATGGCCTCTCTTCTTATCTTTATCCCATGATCTGTGTTTTGTAAGGTCAGCTGGTTTCATAAGCACGAATTCACACGGCAGAAGCTAAATCAGTTAGAGATTTACAAATGAAAATACCCTGGCATATCGGATGCACAGATCACAATAAGAAAGTTGATGCTCTAAAGTAGTGTGTCTATTTAAGGCAGAGAGGGACTTCTTTTCTTCACCACAAATAGGGCAAATTGATTTCAGCATGTTCAAGTAGTGCTGCTCAATCTCCCTATCGGGGAACATAAAATCAAATTTCGAGTCATGTCGAAGTAAGGACACATCAATACTGTCGAAAGGCACGAAACTTCTCATTATCGCAACCTATGAAATTGGTGATCAATTATCATTTCTTACTCTATTAATGTTTTGCCTACAAGTAGGACATTGTGAAAATTCAGGCTCATCGGCACTTCCGAATTTCCGTAACTTCAGAACACATCTTGTACATGTAGGATGATTACATGATCCGTATGCGAAGTAGTCAATATCATCTTGACAAATTGGACACAGTTTACTGACTGACTCAACAACACCAGACATCATCCACGCAGAAAATAATGTTTAATACGGCGCTGCTACCTTGACACAACCTAGAAGTTCAGTCCAATTTCCAATTTCACTTGATTTCAATAAGCAATTTCGTTTTCTTCAGTTAGCATAAACCAGTCATTCCGTTCAGCTTGATTTTTATAGTTAAGGCACACTTTCAGCTACATGGTAATTTGCAGTGGATGGTGGTCTAGCCAACTGAATGCGCTAATCCAGTGAGTGCGCTTGTCGTAGGTCAGCAGGGTTTCTGAATCCTAGTCGCTACCACATTGCCAGTCGCACTATGGATAATAAAAAAATAAAATTCTCGTGCTGGTGAGAATATAATAATCAGATCTCAGAACTAAGCAAAAAAAGTCAAGTCAATTAGTTGGTAGAGAAGATTGTTTGAGAAGATAGATGCGTGTGCAAATAGGAAACAAAGATAATACCCAAGATATAGTTAGTTAATGATCTGAGGAGGTAATAATGATGAAAATGAGGCGCATTTAAAAACATGCATCAGGCAATGCTAGTGTAAGAGTACGTGTTTGTCAAGTCTCTTCTTGAAGCTATCCACTGAAGGGGCTGAGGTCACTTCGGCTAGGAGAGTGTTATTTGGAAGCTCAGCTCAGGGACCACCGGAATCTTTGCATCATCGGTATAAATTAGTTCCGCTGATCTGAGTTTGTCTAAAATATCCTTATTGAATTTCATGGAAACAAATAGACCTAAGAAATCCCCCTGTGAAACTCGACTATGAAACGCACCAGCTCATATGCACTCTGTTTACAATGATTCAACACTTTCTATTCTCCAGGTAATTTATGAACCAAGATAGAAGTGTATCAGTAAACCCTGTTACTGAAACCACCATTAAGACTGAGTTGGGAACCGTATAGAAAGCTTTCGCAAGGTCAAGGAATGTTATGTGAACCGGCATTTTTCAGGTTCAGGAGTTTGGCCAGTTGTTCCATCCTATCAAAAGATTGAATTCTGAAACCCGTATTGAGCTTCATGCAGGATTTTCTTCTTAACCAAGGATTCCCTCATTGGCGACTTCTTGTAATAACCATGATTTGTCGAGCCTGACTCAGATCTGGTAGGACAGTTTGCCGTAGGGTATCTCTCCATCCTTGAGATGGTGGTATTGTAGCTTTACTTTCCAACGCCCACCCACTGCTTCTTACTGTAAACAGATACTAGGATATTTACAATACCAGTGATTTTTTCGGTGAATAGGCTCGGGTTGAGGTTGCCTTTGTCATCTGTTTGATCATTTTATTGTTTGCTAGTAAGGTTTAATGATGGGAATCGATAGGTTCACATTCGATAGGGACTTCTGTTAATCTATTGGTCTAATGATCCTCCACTGTAGACAAACATACCAGAATCACGCATGTGGGTAACTTAGCATTTACCCACAGTATCATCTGGGTACTGCAGTATCCCAGCGACAGTGAACCCATGCACTGCAGAGGTTACATTCAGAAGCTGAGCCTCTGACAGGGAAAAAGCGATACAATTATCACTATCAGGTTCTTTCTAAACAATAGGCCACGTCAGTTTTTTTTCTTCCTGGCCTACTGGTTGGAATCTTGGAAGCAGATACAGTGGAGGAGTTTGGTTCGAGTGATCCGAGTTATACACATTACTCCGGGGTTCATCGTCGAGTAACTTTTTTAGCTACCTCTCAGTTGCATTGCTGTGAACCTGGACTTCTGAGTCAGTGCTGACCCCGGTCTTCAGAATACCAGTTTTCCTAGTTGTTACGGTATAAGAACCGGTGGTGACTCTGTTGCCGTACAGTTCAATCTCTAGACTAAAAAACAGATGGAGAGATAAATCGAAGAGAAAAGTACGCGACATATTACATTTGAGGGGGGAGAGTAATAATATTAATTAGAAAGAATAAAAATTACGCGAGAATGAAACCTGAAAAACATTCAAAATTGCATTGTTACCTTTAGCCATCTAAGTAGTAACTTTACTACAAGGCTTGTGTTTACATACTGAGGGCTGATTTTTTCCGATGTATATGGTCCGAAGAAGATTAAAGCTGTTGTCGATAATCAGAACAGATTGTGATACTACTGACCTGAATACATGAAAAGGAATTCGCTTGTTATTTTGACAAGCAGATTGGTCATTTTCATGTTTGATAAAACGGATAATGCTACAATTTATTTAGAGCTGTCCGGATAATTGATTGTACTTTGATCGCTATTGAAACCTTAGAAGGATACTTTAATTTGCTAATTTATCAATTCCCTTCCGATGAAATATTCAGTATTTGTAGATAAGTATATTGACCTGTCATTAAAAGGTAGATTATTATTCCTGTTTTATTTATAATGTAACCTGTTAAACTCATTACAATCCCTACAAATCATATACAAACACACACACACCGAAACTAATAGTTTCAGTAGTTCAATAGTTAGGTCTGATAATTTGTTTGCGATTCATTAATGATTACAAAACATAAGAGAGCTTGAGAGGAGAATAAAGCTTTTAGCTGAGTAGTTTAGTGAATCATAGAGCATGATCATGAAACCGCGTAAGCCAAGGTAGGTTGTCAGCTATTACATCCGATTTAGCTATTCATGACCTTCAGAATTTTTAGCAAAGGTGGGAATGTGCTGATAATGATGGACGACTTAGCTACACTCTCATGATAGTTTACGCACTCAACCACCCAAAAGCGAGATTCAAGTTCCCATATTCAATCCTTCTATTCAAGAAAGTGAAATAGTTCTATTGTCGTGCCTCCACATAAACTTGAGTTCGCTCATAATTAATTTGATTACGCCTTTCGATTAACTTATGTAACCACGCTATTTGTATAGCAACAACCCATATGTACCATTGGTATTTTTTATTGTCTGGTTTGCATGAGCTTGTGCAACTGAGCATTGGTTACGCCTACGCGTTCACTCATCCTTCTCGCTTGAATGTTAATATCTTAATACCCCTATGAACTCACATGACTTGTCTCGCTTATCTTTGAACTTGTTAGTCATTCGTCACTTTTATTGACGTGTGCATGCCTATTTCGCTTGTCATATGTCTGTCTTATTTTTGTCTAACTATATATTCTTAGTCATGCTCTATTTCTTTGAGTTGGCTCTTAGCCTTCTCCAATTCGCTTCGCCCATTCGTTCGCGTTGTAACCTATGGAGTTGCCTCAACAGCCTTCTCCAGTTCACGTTGCTTCATTCGTTTCATTCACTGCTTCTCCGCTTCGATTTGTGGTGTGTACCGAATAAACGTATTCAACACTACGAATTCATCTTCTGATTTATAAACCGTCAGACGCTACTTAGTGACGATCGTCTGAACGAGTTAATCACCGAGCTCAAGAACACGCACACACTACACTATTACAAATTTATGAAATATATGGAATACTTGTCTCTGATGGTTAATACTCTGAGCATCGTTGTGCTCTCAGTTAGATTGCAAATAAAATATGTCTTTGTAATGGCGCAGTTCGTGATTGGCTACGAAAACCACTACAGACCAATTACGTTCCCGTCAAAAAGTATATCTAGGTGAATCAAGGACAGGGAACACAAGTCAATCCAAAGTACAGAATATACTTGCTGACGATTTGGTGGTATCGAAAGAAAACCGAAGTTATGCCAGAAAAGAGGTGCAAAATTACAGAGTCAGTGGAGCCTAAATGGCAGCAACACAAACAGAAAGTTTTGCGTGCACAGAGTACCCGTAAAAAAAGTCCAGTAAAACAATCACCGGTACAGTTGTTTATTATAATGAATGTTTCTATTGAATCAATAGCGTTTGCTTCATAAAGGTGGAGTCAGTAGACCTTCAAGGGTACCCGACGTGTATTTTCGATTTGCGCGTTGGTTGAATCCTTACAATCGGGGTCTTTCAGATAGGCATGTGGAATACTAGTTTGTATACCAAACTATACTTTTACGAGAGAGGAAATTTTCACTGTGTGATGAACGGCTCACACTTCCATTGCTTATATTTACAGTAAACTATAAAATGATGACATGAAGTTTAGGACAACTAATTGTAGATACATTGATGATATCCATATTTCATCACAATATAAAGTGACCAGGATGAGTTACGCCGATTGTTAGTTACCAAAGAGCACAAGTAAGGTTCAGTTAAACAAAACTTGCTGCCAAATCAGATCTGTGCTGTTATTACGAGACATGTTGGGAGATACAAACTTCCTAAATCGAATTTTCGAACTGATAACAACCGTTAGTTAATGGTAACAGATGGTGCAAAATTACTCAATACATTTTCAACAATTTAGGGACCGAACCCAAAGGTCCTGTAGGCTATCTCACTAGTTCCAGGGCTTATTCGAGCGAACTACCTTACAAACTAATCTTTTTGAATTGGGATGTCGAGTACGTTTTAAGTGACGATAAAAAATATGATTGAGAGTGTCTAAGGTTACACAGTAATCAGGAAGTTATGGTTATCATTGTATAGTCATAACACTTGGGTCTTAGTTTACACAATTTAGGGGTACATTAAACACACGTTTACCTACTTACTAACTTACTTACGCCTGTTAGCCCCAACGGAGCTTTGGCCACCGACCAGTTTTCTCCATTCAACTCTGTCCTTGGCTTCCCTTTCTAATTCTTTCAAGTTTTTGTTCATTCTTCTCATGTCTTTCTCTGTTTCTCGTCGTAATGAATAAACACACTCAGCTGTGAAATTTAGATGGTAATTTGTTTATTTAAATCTGGAGAGGACGAAAAATACATAATGACACTCTGGAATGATACGTTGAGCCTAAACGGCTGGTACTAGCATTTGAACAAGCTGATCAACCTATTCTTTCCGAGTCATTATTCACGTATCTACCAAACTTGTCAACTGTTCTCTTATTACATTGGTTGCTTTTGATTGAGTTTGTGTGTTCGTTACTTACTTCTCTTATCATGTCCACCTTAATTTTTTCTGATGGTAAACACTTGGTGATGCCTCATTACACTGAGTTAAGATACTCGCTTTCT